TTTTTTTTAATACATTTTACATTTAAAGTACACTACAAGTGCACATTCAATACAGTTAAGTGCACTTGTTTTACACAAGGACATGTTTGTTTCATCTGCTGTTAAAAAAATTATAAGTGATCATTTTGCACAACTCTCCTCAATAAGCCATACATTTGGAGGTTTTGCTTATGTCTGTTGCACAAAAGGAGCAGGATGAGGTATGTATCTAAAGTATAATGCTTTAGAGTTAGCGGTTTGTGAAAGTCCACAACCTGATAGTAATAGTAAGGCTTGGCTTAGTATATACCGCTGAACAAGTGATCATCAGCTAGATCTGATCTTGCACAGATTTAGCTCACTCTTTATAATTAATTGGTAATATACAGTAGGCCGTGTGGATGCTGTATCTTTCTAATGATTGGTATTTTTTCATTCACCTCTTTTTTCCCGTGCTACCTTACCCTCGCTCTTGCTGGCCAAGTTTGTGTCATGCTGGGATGAATGACCATGACCGTGGCTCATGAGCTCAGGAGAAAAAACGTCACCCATAATGTCAGCATTTTCCGCTCTCCAGCTACATCATCAACTGATTGTGGGAGCTACGGTTCGCTCTGCGACTCGCTGCTTTCTATTACTGCGAGTGATGATAAGACCGCAGATGACTGCGGAGGTAAATGTGGGGCTGATGTTTCGGTCTTCTCTAGAGCTGAGAAGTTGTTGAAATCTGAGAGGTCCAAGCAGAAGAAGATATGACAGTGTGTGGATGTGAGTAATCAAATCAACTTTTTGTTGAGAGTTAAAAAGAGACCTCTAACAAACAGTAACATTATCCAGAGCCTTTTTTAATACTTCCTCTAAATAATGCTGCTTCCTAAAAAGTAAATAACCGTTAGATTTTCTGTTGTGCGTAATGTGTGCATAATTCAAAGAAGAAAGTCTGAATGATGGAAGTTGAAGTAATGTGAGAAGGTGATTTTGGGAGGTTTTTAGTTCCCACACTCTAGAAAACAAGTCAAGAAAGTAGAACACAATGTATTGTGTTAATATGAAGGAATTTTCCGTAGTGTTTTTATACTGGAGTTTGGCCTGTGCTTTGAATTACACGTTGTATTGCATTGTGTGTTAGGGTGAAAAGAATTGTCCGTAATATGTATATATATATTTTTTTCATTTTATTACAATTTAAAATCCAATTCCTACTTTTACTTTTTAATGGGTATTTACTATTATCTCCACCTTTTAAACTTTATAGTTATATATCATGGATGCTTCTCATTAAAAAAGACCATATTTAACTCTAAAAATAATTAAAATTAATTATATTTAACCGTTTTCATTATTTTATTATTTTTCACTTTTCAGTATTTGAGATATTGACATGAGTCATCACATTTTCCTACCAAATTACCATTACCATAATGTGAAAAGCATCACTGTAATACATTATTAAAAATCATCCTGTTTGACCTTTTTTTTTTTTTTTTTATTAAAATCTGATTAAAAAACCTCCCTTTTTGTCTTTTTTTTTTTTTTTTTATTAAAATCTGCATTCAAAATCAAAATTAATTGTCACTGAACGCTTGGAAATATTAGGGAAGTTTAAATTGTGAATTCCAGTCTTTCTGTCTTTCTTTTTTTATATTATGTACTTAGTTGTCATGAAAATCATGCTACAATGCAAAAAATCTTAATGTTATCCTAAAGTTATCTTCATTGTGAATTATGACTTGGGCAGGTTGAGAAGTTTATGATTGAACCAGCTGCTTTTTGTTTATATTTCATAAGTGTTTTCAAATCAGAACAACAGACTGATTAATAGACGTTTCAGGGGGGAAGCAAAACAAAACAAAAACACCTGAAGATTATGTTGTACCAAACTAGCTGTGGTTGGCCCAAACTGGAACATGTGTGAGATGTGTTCATGGAGGTGTGTCTCCAGGGCCGAACACGGAGCCTAATCCTGAAGCCAAGAGCTCTTTAGCACCACTGTGGCTAAAGTGATCACGCTGAAATGCTGTTGCTATGGCAGACTGTGAGCACATTACAAACGAGAAAAGCACCCCGTAACCTCAACGTAGGTGTTTTTGCCTTGTTTGCATGCTGCTTTTTGTTAAATATAACAAGAAATGCTGTTAATAGACCAGTGGTCAAACTCTTTTGTCCACCTCAAAACTACTTCTGAATTGTTTGAATGCCAGTGTGAATGAAATGCAGTTCAACAGGTTGCTGTTTCTGTCAGTGTACTGACATGCTCTGATAGTGCTCGGTCTGTACAAAAAATAACCAACATCATTCTGACTTTACGCTTTCTCAAGTTTGAAGACTTATTTATTGATGTGTTTCTAATGCTAGGAAACCTCCAGTTGCATGTCTGACATTCTAATGGCGCTTTTCCACTGCGTGGTACGACTCGGTTCGGCATGGCTCAGTATTGCACAGCACGGCTCGGTTTGCGTTTCCACTGCAGTTTAGTACCGCTTTAGAGTGGGCGGGATTATTCACATGTCGTTATAGTTGCGCCGCCTCTACTGCCGCGACTCCTGAACAACTTTTTCATTCCTCGTCGCCCCTTCAAGTTCTCGCTGGATCCGCTCCTCTGCTATCAATGAGAGGAATGTCTGTACTTCCTCAACAGACAACAAAACTGTTTTGTAGTAAAAAAAGGTGCGCTCGTTCAAAACAGTTGTGTTCGATCCTTCGCTGGGTGTGCTGATTTAAAGCTAGCGGTTCTATAGTGTTTGTGTCGCAAGTTCAGTGACGCAGGTAGTGACGATTCTCTCCGGCCAATCCGTGATCAGCAGAGTTTACACGTCACGTTTTGGTAACGGTACGGTTCACTTGGAACCTCAACCGAGGTGGTACTAAAAAAAGTACCAGGTACCAGGTACACCCAGTGGAAAACCCCCCAAAAGTGAACCGTACCGAGCCGTACCATGCAGTGGGAAAGCGCCATAAGTGAGTGACACACGAATATGTAGCTTCTCTTCAACACTTTGGTGATCTTTGTCATTTTTAGATTTTTACGGGGTTTTTTTTGTTTTTTTTACTTCATCAGAATGGTACAAAGCTTGTTTTTGGCACTTGCTATGTGCATGATTCGAAAAGGTTAAATGGTACTGGGAAAATTATGGAAATTGCATCCGTTAGGGTGGATAGCATGTTTTCAGGTCCATGGGTGTGTTTCAAAATGCTCCCTAGTTCAGAAATAAGCACACTGCCCAAGGGAGTCAGCCATTTGTAGTGCTGGCGCATTGTTAAAATCATTCCTGGGCACTGAAAAATATGCTACCTGGAACTTTCCAGAATCCACATGGATTTTCCTCTGTCTGCTGAGATGAATGGGAATGCTAACGAATGCTAGCTTTATCCAGGTATTATAGACCTCAATGGCTGCAATGAAGATGCATGATAAAACAATAAACAAGAAGGATAGACCGTGTCGTTGTTAAAAGACCATTAATATTCAGTGATATTCAGCAATATTATTGACTCGACTGCACTGACACTATCGGAGGAAACTTAAACTGAATCGAACTACTGCTGTCTATTGTACTTCTGTCTTCTGTAGAGTTGCCTTTGTCAGTGTTTCAAAGTTGATCAACTATGAAACGACTTTAGTTAATGAACTGAATTGAATTAACATTGAACAAAATTAAGTTTAACAATGACACTTGCCTTCTGTAGAGCTTTTTCTAGCTAGATCCATTGCTTTAAAATTGACGAACACTGTAATTGAATCAACACTGAACTAAAATAACTGAATTATGGCACAAGTATTGTCTTTTATAGAACTGCTTTATAGCTGAATGTAATTATCATAATTGATTACCTTTGCAACATCAACACTTATTGAACTGAATTGAATCAACATTGAACTAAACTGAGCTAAACGATGACGCTTGTGTCTTCTGTGGAGCAGCTTTAAAACTAAAATTAAAGTTGTTTCATAATTGATTAATTTTGCAATATTTACGTTGATATGTTCATGTTTATTACTGTAAATCTGCTACAATATGTACAGTGCATTATTATGTTTGAAAATGACTTTACTTAACAGATATGCTTTAATGCAGCATTACTGTGTCGATATTGACTCATTATAACAGTTAAGGTATCAAGGCCATCGCTAGTTGCCGAATTTTTGTTAGATTTTCAAGTGGAAGCAACAAAGTAGCTACATTTGCATATTTTGTTCAGTGTGTTATTCCTTCTCTGTGCACTTGCCAAGACCTTGTCATGTTGTCAGTCTGTTCATGTTGGGTAACATCAGCTTGCTTGCATTGAAACAAGTTGGTGCAAAGTCATAAAACGGTTAAACAATAACATTATTCAGAGTGCAGCAATACCAGTTGGATGAGCTGACCTACTGACTTTTGCACAGTTTTGAATGTTTAGCCACTCCTCTCGTTAGTGATTTGTAAGGAAGTCTTTATAATGATATGGCGTTTTGTGTTGTTGTTGTTGTTGTCAGTGTCTCAATTTGAAGAAATCAATATACGTGATCAGCCAGGCTCACATTCAAAGTGCAGATGTATTTTTGTAATGAGTCATTCAAGCAGACATGTTAAAATGCTCTTTAAAGAATTCATGCATTGCTTTGCTTCTCTCCACAGAGTGAGTCCTACTCATCCTAAGGCTGATGTCCTCCAAGAGCAGCGTCTGAAACATGGACGACCCTTTAAAGGTTGACTGATTCCAGCTGACACCTTCATAACTATGCTGCGAGTCTCGCAAGGCCTGATGGCCACACTAGCCACCAACAACCCCCCTAATTCCCCAGTCCAATTCAGGGAATGATCAAACCATTCTGTCTAGGACATACACATCAAGAGACCTCTTACATACAGGTTAGTAACAAAAATAAACACTTTTACTCAATAACTGACTACAACTTGTAGGAAATGGACATTAAAATCCTCAAGTTAACCTGTCTTAACAACCCTTTCCCATTTTGACTAGTCAAATTACTTGAAATTAGAACTCAAAACTTCTCCAGGACGGCAGATACCCCAAATCCAATGGCATGGGCCAAGTTCTTCAGGAGACCAGGAGGCAATCTTTCCAGGTCTTACCAGCCAGGATCTATGCTATCCTTGGCCCCTACCAAGGGACTACTAAATGAGCCGGGACAGAACAGCTGCTTCCTCAACAGTGCAGTGCAGGTGCGTGTTTAACCCAAAGCTAAGGAAACAGTTGCATGAGCAGGTTTGTTTTACATGCCTGTTTTTGACGTTAATACTATTGTTTACTTGGAATAAATATACTTAAAAATGCAAGTCTAAATGAATTTAATAAGTGAAAGATATATAATAAATTATGGAAAAATAATGTGTATATACTAAATATTTTTTATTACATATTTAAATTTATTTTAAGTAGTGTTCATTTTGTCAGCTATTTTCATTTTAGTCTTAATCTTAGTCCCGTGTTAAAATGTCCTTGTTAGTTTTTATCTTATTTAGTCAACCTTATCCTATTTAGTTTTAGTCGACTAAAAGTCACAACATTTTAGTCTAGTTTTAGTCAATGAAAACTTGACATTTTAGCAATAAAATTATTATTAATTAACCGTACAGTATTAATTTTGGCAGCCATTTTTAATTTAGTCTTAGTCTTACTCAAATGTCCATTTTAGTTATCATATTTAGACAACCTTGTCCTGTTTTTGTTTAGTCAATTTTAAGTCAATGAAATGTATGAGCATGTTAGTCAATGAAATTTTTGTCACGTTTTCATCATTCTGTATAATGGTTAAACTGATAAAAAATATTTTTTCTCAAATGTATAATCTATAATAAATAAAATAAATTAACTTTTGCATTTCAGGTATTGCACTTTTACCATAAGCACAGATCAATAGAATGTGGACACATGCATAGTGTATTTTACCTAATCTAGTTTACTGATTTATTATAGGCTTTTTATTATATAATTTAATACCAAAGACTTATGCAATCTCTCTGTCTACATTATGAAAACAGCTAAAACAAATAAAAAATATTATAACAGTGAAATTCCTAGTAATTCCAAATGGCAATAGCCTATTTCTCTATTAAAATAACAGCGGTTGAGTAAGTGCATTTATTCAGCGATCACAATCGCAAACAATACAGTCGAGATCTCATGACAGAACACAGACCGGCTGAATGACGGTTTCATTTAGATCACCGTCGGCGACGCTTCCGAAATGAGGAGTGAGCGTTTGCGCATGGTTGCCAGATTGCTTAAAATAAGCAAAACACACCGGGCAGAAAATGTATCAATGTAACAGCGAAGCTCTGATTTGGGGATTAGAACTGTTGATATCTGGCAACCGCACTCATGAGAGCTCGCGTAGTAGAGGCGTGTAGAGCAGACTGCAATAACATTTTGTCTCCTTTTTTTGACCAAAAATAAAAAGAGGTTTTTGGTAAAGTTTCTTTTTCAATACATTTTAGTCTCGTCTTATTTCGTCAAAGAAATTGCATGTCGATATAGTCTTCGTTATCGTTTATTGACCTTATTATCGTCTCGTCTTAGTCATGGGAAAAAAGCTCATCAACGAACATTTGTTGTCGTAGTCTTCGTTAACGAAATTAACACTCATTTTATGGCTGCATTTATTTGTTCAAATAAACAATAAAAAACAGTAATATTGCTAAATGTTATTACAATTTAAAATAACTGTTTTCTATTTTAATATATTTAAAATGTAATTTATTTCTGTGATCAAAGCTGAATTTTCAGCATCATTACTCCAGTCTTCAGTGTCACATGATCCTAAAGAAATCATTCTAATATGCTGATTTGCTGCTCGAGAAACATTTCTTATTATTAGCAATCTTGAAAACAGTTATACTGCTTAATATTTTTGTGGAAACATGATACACTTTTTTTCAGGATGAGAACGTTTTTTGAGCTTCATTTATTAGAAATAGACATCTTTTGTAACAATGTAAATGTTTTTGGTGTAACTTTTGATCAGTTTAATGTATCTTTCCTCAATACAAGTTTTGATTTCTTTAAAAAAGAAAAAGAAAAACAATAATCTTTATGTAAAATTATATGTAATAAAATCTTTAAAAATTTTAATATATACAATTATATTTTAATAAAATTTTAATATATACAATTATTTATAAAATAATTATTTAAAAAAATATTTATTTTCTATCTATTTGTCTACCTTTTTACTTAGTAATACCCTAACGTGAATATGGCAAACATTTTACCATATAATTTATTAATTTAAGGGCAAATATGAACTTTTAAACTGGATTTATTAACCTTTAATGGCTAAAGTCTTCAACTTTGAATGAACTAAATACTGTTACCAAGTACATAACACCTACATATAAAAGTAAGACAGACTGGACTTACCACAATCACATAAAAATATCACACCACCCCCTGAACGTATTTAACTTTCGTATGACTCGCATTGGAAGTCCGACCTTCAAAGCAAACTGTCATCTCCTCATTGCCTACCGAGAGGGTATTTACGGCATCCAAACTCCACCCGTCAACCCCCAAATCTTTGTCATGCTCCCAGTTCTCTAGTTACTGTAAGTCCGTTTTCCCTTTTCGATGGGACTGGACATTATGATTGAGTGTATCTCTGTTATCTTGTTCTTTTACTCATCACCATGGAGTGAGGTCATGCTCAGACTAAGTTGTCTGGGGCCTAAGGGAAAGACACTGAGTGAAGAGTAACCTTACACTGGAAGTCCAAACTCAAAACACACACACACACACACACGGATGAAAAGCTCTCACCCCCTATCTTGTCATAGCCTAATCTCCCTTAAGATCTTCCACCAAGCAAGGACAATGAGTCATAGTTCTTGGAGTTTTAACAACAAAATGACGCCTAATAAGAAAAGGCAAAGACATACAGTAATACATGGCCTTTGGATGCTGACTTTAAGATTGGCACTATAAAGCCGTCATGGAAAACCAGAATAATGTTTTAGGAGTTTAAAAAGATAGATTAGAGGAGAAGCACACTATCGCCAAATATACGTTGCAGAGGTGCTTCTGAAGTGCCATTTAGGTGTCATTACACAGACTGCGTAATGCTGCTCAGAAGTGGCATAAATGCATTTACACAGATGCAAATGCTACTGTGCTTTGGTACTAGGTGCTAAGGTTGGTCAGAGCAGGCTTAATTTAGTATGGCTTTTATGCGACATCTTTGCACAGAATTTTGAGCAGGCATAGAGCAGCCTTAACTTGGCTGTGTAAAGATGCCTTATTTAGAGGTGCTTCCTACATACACATGATTTTGAGGCTCATTTCAGATAGGAAGGCTGTTACAAACTGCTTCAAAAGACCTTTACACAGCTGAGTTAAGACTGCTCTATGCCTGCTCATAATTCTGTGTAAAGATGTAATGCTGCATAAAAGCCATACTAAATTATGCCTGCTCTGGCCCACCTCAGCCCCTAGTATCAAACTACTGTATAAAGGTGCAGTTGCTGTGTAAATGCATGTATGCTACCTCTGAGCTGCATTAAACAGACTGTGTAAGACACCTATAACAAATTTACACAGCAAAGGTGGCACAGAGGCGCTTCTGAAGTGCCATTTAAGTGCCATTTATGCTGCTCAGAGGTGGCACAAATGTGTTAATGCAGCAACTGCGCCTTTGTGCCTACATGATTTATTTTCAGGTTGTATAGGGTTTACTGAGGTGAGTTCATTCTCAATCTGAATTTCCTATAATTCCATGCAGGTTCTTTGGCACCTCGATATCTTCAGACGAAGTCTTCGTCAGATTCCAAACCACTACTGCTTGGGCGACTCCTGCATCTTTTGCGCTTTGAAGGTATTCTCATGACCAAACGCATCATGAAGCGGTATTTAATAGTTTCTTTAAAAAGATGTTATAGTGTCAAAAGTTTGAAAGCACTTCATGTTCGTTTTGCAGGGAATATTCTGTCAGTTCCAGCACAGCCGAGAGCGAGCGTTACCCTCAGATAACCTGCGTAATGCCCTAGCTGAAACCTTTAAGGATGAGCAGCGCTTTCAGTTAGGCTTCATGGATGATGCTGCTGAGTGCTTTGTAAGTGTCTTTGTGTGTATTTTTGCATTTTATATTATACGTGTGTGTGTGTGTGTAATTTGTTTTATTATTTATTTAATTTTTATCTATTTGGGTGGGTGATATAGCTACAAAAAAAAGATAATTTGATAATATAGACATTTGATATAGCCCAGTAATACCTAATACTGAATAGAATATAAATAGAAAATTAAAAAGTATCTTTTATTTATTATAAAAAAATTTGTATTTATATATATATATATATATATATATATTCCAATCAATGCAACATATCAGACATTTGATATAGCCCAGTAATACATGCAATATTATGAAAATAGGAAATTAAACTGAGTAAACATATTTTTAACGTTTACAATTTTTGATTTTGCAGTCTGCTGGTTGTGTTTGGCAATGAGACCTCTCCAAATTTTTTGACAATTTGTCACTTAAGCATATATGGATAATATCCAATCTTAATTTAATGTGGTAATTTTTTATTGTTGTCTTTTATCGAGAAATAAAAGGGAAGCTTCAAAACCAATTTCCAAATTAAGCTCAGTTGCCATAATGTGCATTGTGCACAGCACAGATCATACACCCTTGTCCTAGTGTCTCTGTCTCTTTCTGGAAAGCTGAAGTAAGCATGTTCACCCTTCCGGTATGTGCAGGATTTCTCTTAGGGCCGCCTAATTGCAGTAAACCTGCTTAGCACTGGGACCTGTAATCATTTTCTGTTTAGCACAGCAGGACTGTGGAGAGTCTGTCATTATCTCAGTAAAAGTCAATTTACAGTGCTCCCTTAAACAACATAATCAATAAAGGATCTCTATCAATGCAAGCCTGGAGTGCACAGATGCGTTCACACTGCTCTCTCAGTCAATGCAGGCTCTCTATCAGCGCTGGGGTAGATCATGCATCCAATGCTTTTGTCTATTTGTACAAGTTGCCCTGAGCCAGGACAGGGCAAATAAGCTCATCTGTACTGTAGAAACAAAATTAATCTTGCCTCTTTTCAAAACTGCAAATTGTCTCAGTGCTGTTGGCGTTACTGAATGTGCCGATGGTTCTCGGGTTTAAAGGGTGTATTTAAGCAGATAATAGGCTTAGGGAAAATTACTAAAGCTTAGAGTGCATTCTCTTAATGCCAAGGTATCATTGTACCAGCCCAAACAAATTCAGTGTGATTAGGTCATGTAAAACAAGAAATTGTTGTTTTCATGTCTATGAATCTGTGACATAATTAATTAATAAAGTTTTGTTTATATATATATATAAACAAATTTGTATTAATAAGTTCTGCTATTAATGCTTTAACATATTAAAAATAATTAATTCAGCATCCCTTTTTTCCCATATCAAATTTATTTTATGTTCAAATTTATGTTAAACTCTTCTTATCTGATATTCTGCTAGTGTAACACCTTCATGTGACAAAATGAGCGAGATGAAACCTGAGACCGGAACGTTCCTCTCACATGTCAATACATTCTGCATATTTAAACAGGCAAATAGGAAGTTACATCCTACTGCAGTCACTGCAAGAAGCAGCACAACAATCATGTGTCTCACTGAAGTAATAAAATGTTTGGTCACAACTAAGGGATATGCCGGTATCAAGTTTTCATATTGCGATTAATTGCTAATGCTTTTATCACGGTATACGGTATTATCACGGTATTGAAATTTAGTTTTAAAAAAGTGCTGTCATAATACAGTATAACAGGTTTAATAACTTTTTTTCTTATAACAAAAATAACTGAACATTTAAATGCAATAAAGCAATACAGAAAAATTTATAAAGTTAAAAGTTTTACACAGATTAAAGTGCAAAAGAACTATATAAAGACCAATAGGTATCACTTTACAATAAGACCTCATTAGTTAACCTTAGATAATGCATTAACATTCACAATGAGCAATAGCTACATTTGCTACAGAAGTTATTAATTATTAGTTATTAATTCTTAGTTCATGTTAGCTCATTAAATAACACAGTTGCAACTTTCGAACAACGTGTTATTAAATATTGGAATACATAAGATTAATGAATGTTCAGAAGAATTTTTCATTGGCAGTTTGTTAACTAATGAATTAACTAATGAAGCCCTAATGTAAAGTGTGACCGAACAATAAAGAATCAAAACACTTTCAAACAATATCTAGGGCATGTTGTAGTCCAGATTAAAATGTAAAAAAAGTTTGAAAATAAATAGCCTATTAAGTCTAAATATTTAAGTATTTGGCGCTGTGATGAACATCATAGCAAATACACTAATCTGAATGGCTGTTTAAATCATTTAAACACGATTCAGAAACAGAAAGTAGTGCAGCTGCTTTGTTTACAGGGTTTCCCGGGTAATGGCTGCATTTAAATTAATTATTATTATTATTATTATTATTATTATTTCTACAGTTTAGCGCCATCTGCTGTCAGAGAGTGAAAGTGCGCTTTCATCCAGAGCGTCTCTCACATCACATTCCGCCATGTGCTTCTCATCCGCGCTTGTTTACATCAGAGTGCGCACGCATCTTTCACGCAGCATACAGCGGTGTTGTGCATTTTGACCAATTGATGTTTTATTCTTAAAATGCATTTAAAATTCTGAATAATTTGTAATATATTCACGGTATTTAGAAGTGCCCACGATAACAATATCGTGCATATTCATTACCGTGATATATCGCATTACCGAATACCGGCACAAGTCTAGTCACAACAGGGTTAGTAATGTTACCTGAAACTAAAACCGTAAAAACATGTTACTGTTGCTTGAAGTAAAACACACAAATACTTAAACTTATTTTAAGCAAGTTGCCAAGGCAACATTTGTCATTTTTATGTAGTTTAACTTGATATACTAAGATAACTGAAGCTAAAATAGTAACTACTTAGACACACAATAAAACTATAAATGGGTCAAAGATGAGACATTCCATTTTGGTGTCTGCATCAAATTCAATAAATAAATAAAAAAAGATTTTATATGCAAAAAAAGTACATTTATATGCTAGTAAAGTGCCTACCTTTAATGTTTCAAATAATTTTTGCAAAAAAAAAAGTCAACATATGGGTGAATTCATGTTCCACCATCATTCAGTGGAACAGATATAGAGTATATAAACAACATACATATTCTGACCTGTACTTATTAAAACATATAAAAGAAAAAGTGAATTTTAAATAATTAATTTTATTATATTTTAAATGATTAATAACTACTTGTTGACAAATGGGTAAAACCTAGTGGATTGGTAAAAACTTTAAAATGATAACTAATTAGTATTTTAGGGGCTGCACTGTGACCCTTATTTTAATGTCTTTTAATGTCATCTAATGATTCTAGCTCTGTATGTGCCTGACAGATTTTTTGTTGTATGAATTATTGTTGCATTGACTTTTTAGTGGGTGTCTTCTGTAAATCATGTTTAAAATGTATGATAGCTTTTATTTTTTGCTCATTTAAAAACATTAAACGGGGATCATTCTAATGCATTAAAAAAAAATTAAAGCTGTATTTAGCTGTATTATTGTTTTCAACTATTGTTTAAAACCCCTTTTAGTGTTTGGCCCGAGTAATAAAAATGACTAAAACTCACAATAAAATTTCTAAAACTTTAACTACATTTGAAATGAAAGTGGAAAATATAAAAATATATAGACTAATTCAAAATACTAATTAAAACTATAGTAGTAGCTCAATGGGCCTCATTTATCAATCTAACGTAGAAACGAGCGCAGATCCGTGCGCACAAATCAACTTACGACAGAGTTCACGTGTGATTCATGGAACATCCGTATGCCGCCAGTCTCCTCGTACGAATGATCGTATGTTGATAAATGTGGCGGCAGAAAACAATCGTCATTTGAATATCACCCCCCTAAAAACACCCCGGTTTAGAAGCCTCGCCCCTAGATTTTACGACACGGAGAAACGAAACCCGGCCAAAAAGAGGAAGTAATCTCATGAAAGAGAAATTGATCTTACTCCAAAAACACCTGTTAACCTTGCAATTGCAAACAATTAGGCTACATTAATTTATGTAATTTATATGTATATTAAAATAGCCTACTGGTAAATATAAACAGCATACTGCTTTACGCCCACTTCCACGTTACCACCCTCCAGTATTGGATTAGTCTCAGCCGAAACCTCTTGGACAAGTACAAAGGCCTTAATTCATTCCCTGGTTCTCCCTGTGATGGTGGAGACTTCAGAGGAAAATCGCTCCCCTGACCTGGAATCCATTGTTTCACGAGCCTCCAGAGAAAACCAGCTATTCAGGAACCAGGGGTGGAGGAGCAAGTGTTGGTTATGCAATAGCTGCTTTATTAAAACTTGTTTCGGAAAATACATACTTCTGCATTCTGTCACCTACTTCTGCCTTCTAAATCTGAAGGACTCTTTGACGCAATGTAGCTTAAGAAATGCTGTATAAATCGTATTTTAATTGTGATCACATTTATTGCTTTGCGATTATTCTGTGCTGTTTGCTGCAACTACATTTGCAATCAAACCTCAGTGATGAACTGTAATCAATCTAAACGTGGATTTCGACTCCTCTTTGCGATTGTGGCTGCTGAATAGATGCCTTTACGTAACCTCTGTGTCACAATGCAAAGTCATTTTTGTTGTTTTAATAGAAAAACATTAACATAATTTGGAATTATAATATTAGGAATTTCACAGGTTCCTGTTTTTCCACTTTTCGTAATGTAATCATGCTTATGAGGCGATGCTCTCTTCATTTGTGCTTATGTGAAAGTGCAATAATTCTGATGAAATATAAAATGAAGCTCTTCAAATGACATTAATCACAATTAATTTGGAGTTTGACCATTATCAGTTTAACCATTATCATGCAGCCCTATGCTTTACATCGTCATAATTTACTCACCCTCATGTCAATTCAGACATGAAATTATAATTATGAATTATAATATATATATATATATATATATATATACAGTATA